ACCGAAGTGGTTCCTATTTATCTACTTGCAATTTCTTGCTTTCGAACTGCTAGGTTGGCAGGAGCTGGAACTAGAGACGGGAGCTCACTCCGTCATGCGGCACCCCTGGGTCTCGAACTGCTGAACTACTGACCTTCCACAGCCACAGCCCCAAGGCTTACATCCTGAAGAGGTGCAGCCCTAAGAAGACACTTTTCCTAACAGATGATTTACCACCTTGCCTCAGTCCACCACCCTTTCACCAGTTTGGTATAGTGGTTCCGTGCATAGACTCTAATCTGGGAGAACCAGGTTCTTTCTATGTAGAGACTGCCTGGCCTGGCCTTTGCAGTGCCCAGAGAGACACAGAGTCCTTTCTGAAGAACAATCGGTCGTTCTAGAAATAACATCTCTTGTCTATTCTACAAGGATTCCAAAGTCAGAGATTTTTGTACGGCTGCTCAGTATTCGAGAGAAAATTGTGGTTTCCCCTGCCCGACAGTCCACAGGAGAATGGGTGTTTGTGCCCGTTTTTGCATTAAAACGGTCTGGGACATAAAAATGCTTTCAAAGAGAGACGTGAAATGAGCCTACTAGCAAAGACAACAGGCGGAACGAAAAAGGCTCACAATGAATAGGTATGATGACTTTAGTTTAGAAGCCCAGAATGACCTATTTGTGCATGATTGGGGCACGGGAACTGCAGTACTGGTGCGTCCATTCGAAAAATGGAAACATGGGCGATGAGGGACACAAGTGAACAAGGTAGGTCACGTGAAACATCACCCCGGAGTCCTTTGACCATCAACACCGAGCTCCTTGCTTGCATGAAGCAGGTCAGAGGCAGAGATGCCAGTCGAGGGGGTAGCCCTGGCTTTGGTGTAGTGCTTAAGTGCGCAGACTCTAATCTGGGAGAACCGGGTTTGATTCCGCACTCCTCCACTTGCACCTGGCTGGATGACCTTGGGCAAGCCATAGTTCTGTCAGAGCTGCTCTTGAAAAAGAGCAGTTTCTGTGAGAGCTCTCTCAGCCCCGCCTACCTCACAGGGTGTCTGTTGTGGGGAGGGGAAGGGAAAGGAGTTTGTAAGCCGCTCTGAGACACCTTCGGGTAGTGAAGGGCGGGGTATAAATCCAGTCTCTTCTCTTCCTGCCAGGAGGCCCTTTGTTGGGCCAGGCACCCCCGCCAAGTTCTCGCGTGAGCCACAGCAGCAGGCCCATAGCCAGGATTTTGTGGCTTGCGGGGCAATTTTTTTTCTGGTGGGGCTGGTTCTCAGTGCACAAAGAAAAGCCATTTAGCCAAAAGAGAGCTGCTACCAGGATAGATCTCTAAACTGGAAGCTGTCAACTACATGAGATGATACTTCTCAGCTGCTGCAGGTTAATCTCTTCTGCCAGCCTAAGCAACAATTCTGATAACTAGTCGGCGGGGTGGGGGGATGACTTCTATAGTCAAGAAAGCGAACACTTAGGCTGAAAAACTCTCTTAAAGGAGACCAGTTTCTTGACACAGAGTTCAAAGGGATCCTAGAGGTCACCTACTCCAACCCCCTTGCTCAGTGCAGGAATTAGTCAACTACAACACCCCACTCTGCTTAAAGGAGTGGACGCCTTTAAAACAATGTTTAAAAATTATTGAAGAAAGCATTTACAGGATAAATTCTTCTGGGGCTGTGCTTTTAAGAAAGGGGGCGGAGCCCCCAACAGCCCCACCGTAGCTACGGGTCTAACCACAGGGGCCAAAACAAGTAAGAAGGGCTCTGGGGTGAACCTGCCCCCACAGTCCTGAGGAAAAGCCCCAAACAAACCACACTTCCGAGGGGGGGAGATCAAGAAGTGCTTCAAATGAGAGGTAAGGGGGGGGGAAACTGCCAGAGTGCCACAGAAATCAATCCTCCTAATGAGAAAACAGCACTATTCCGGCATGCCGGGGGGAGCCGTGAGGAGAAATGAAAGCACTGGATTGAACAGCGACAGCCACAGATGGTACTAACAGCTATTGATTGAGACTAGGCGGGCTAGAGAAACCGTCAAAACAGGCCTGCCCAGAGAAGTCCCTACCGGGCAACATGACAAAGGGGGGGCAAAAGCAACTCCGGCTGGTGAATGCTATAGCCTTTCCATACAGGCCCAGTCCGCCGCATGGCCTACCTGGTTTTGAAGCCTCTTCCCAGGGCTGTTACAAGCAAGTGCCACTCTTAAGGTTTTGCTCTGTCTGTGTATGTTTGTTCAAAAAGACAGACAGCCCTCTCTCTCGAACCTGCTCCCACACACGCATGGCAGCTCATTTAATATCTATCAATTGCACCACATTTCCCATTCAGTGACATACAGGAAC